ACATCAGACGCCACGTCATGTTGTAGGCTGGTTAGTAAGAAGCAGTAATATGTATAGTATTATTGTTTTTTTTAATTCAGAATGAATAGTATATAAAAACAAAAACAACATCTAGTATTATCAGTCAAAACTTATCTACTCAACATAAAAGAACAAAGTACAAACAAACAAAAAAGAGAGAAAAAGTAGCACAAAATTTATTAAATCTTCAGCCTCCGGGACCACTCATTAAATTGGCAATTTGGCATGCTCAATCTCATTTTCCTTCAGGATTTTAACAATTTGAGGTATTTGGCCCATAAATGTCAAGCCCATAAAGTATATTAAAATCCTGGAGAAGTCTTAAAGCTTGGACAAAATTCCTCTGCCAGGCTTCTCCAGGACCAGGACCACACCTGCCCTGGAAAAATTTGCCAGGCTTTTCTCGAGCTGGTTATTTTATTTACTGTTCCCGGGAGAAACTGCCAAGAAAATTAATGTTGGGAAATTTTCTCGTATTTCTTGTCTTCCAGGAACTGTTTCTTCTGTTGGATGAATTGTTTTGCTTTGTCCTCAACTGGGAATCTCCGGCTCCCCACTTGGAGAAAGAACAAGTAAAAAATAATCCTGACACTATGGATTGTAATTCACAGAGTGTTGTTGATAATGTTATCGGATTAGTAAAATAATTGCTATTATAATTTACCTGTTATACTGACAGTATCCAAATAAGAGTAATTTTATTTGTTTCATCTCGAGTTTGTTATACCTTAAATGATAACATAAGTCAGAGTAGTTTCTTAATATGATATTAGGGTTAATATTTTCGTGTTCGAATCCTTCATTTATCACTAACCACTCAATCAATCTTAATTATCACAGTCTTGATCACGTTACATGTGAAAATGTCTTTTAGACTTAAATATAAATATTAGATTGGTATCTAATAGTTTAAATTTCCGATTATTCTATATTATCAAGAGGAGAACTTTATGGACAATTCTAAAATTACACTATTAGCTTTTTAATAAATAATTATAACTCCATACCGACTGAACTTTAGAATAAAAAATTAAACCCAATAAAACTAATGGAACAGTAATCTAAATGATGCAAGTCCAGTAAAGGAGTGATTTTATAAAATTAATTAAGCTGATGTCGTAAAGGGCATGAACCTTTTGAAGACAATGGAGTCTTGACCATGATGATTGTGGTTGAAAATAATTAGTTCCACCAACTGTTGTATAAAATTTGGGTCAAGAAAATCTAAGTCCAAAGATTTGAATGATCTTATGCTAAATTATTATGATGTTGGGAGACTTAGTGGGTGTAAGGTATTGGAATTAATTCTGCATGCTAAAGATTTTCCACACCGACCATGCATGACTTTAGAAAGAAGGGAAAATCTCAAGTAAATCCTATTAGATTTAGGCTTATATCATGATTTAAAATAGGAAAAACTTAGGCTTAAAGATGAGTGTAACATGTTCGTTTTCATATGGTCCATACGATAATGTCATTCCATGTATGTATTCGCTTTCTCTGCTATTTAACTTTTGACGATTCTGTTCGATTGGTTTTAAAATCAATGTATATGTAACATGATATATATAATTAGACAGATATACGAACGACTATAATATATGTATATATTGTTTGAAACCTTTTTAAACATCAATAATATTTCCTACATTAGGATAATCTCTTACAATTTTAACCATTAACTTGTTTAACTTGTTCATGAACATTCTTTACTGTATACATATTAATAAGAAATGAGCATATAACACTTCTACTTAAATTAATTTTCAAGATAGAAAGAATCAATATTCTTATAAACTCACCAAGAAAAACAAGTCATCTTTAAAATTAACAAAACAAAAAATCCTAACCACATGGATATCGGTGATTTTTCATAAACTATAAAGGATATTTTATTATCAGTCGAAAGTTCAAGGCCTTCAACATAATTCTGCCCCATAAAATAAAGCTCTACCGACCTTCAATAATAAAATATATTGACGGTCACATAAATGTAACTATTTTCTTCTTTCTCCCTTATTTAGATCATAGACTATAAAAAATATTTTCCTTGAATTGAAGAAACATTTAATACAAAAACAAATCAATTAAACCAAAAACAACCACCGCCAAAATATATAATGAATGATGCCTCTTGCTTTAAAGGTTATTTAATTTTGGAGGTCGGTATCAGCTAATGGTGAGATAAGCATGCAAAATTCATAGTAGGAAACTTCTGTCACACCATTGATTTGATTTGAATATTATCATGAACATGTTCATAATGTTAGTTTATATAAGCATGAATTATTTTATTTAATTTTGATATTCTTCTAATACTTTCTCTTTCTCTTCTCACCACACATTCACAATCATTTAGTATGTTTTGTCTATATTTGGCTTTATAATTGCTATTATGACTGATTTATCTCTCTAAGATTCCATCACCTTCCCAAGCTCTTAATAACTATTTTTTTCCCAATTTCTTAGTTACTATTTTTTTTTTTTTTTAATTAAGGTGTTCGACCAGTTTATACGCACTTTAACTAATCCTCATAAGAGAGTAATACAGCAACCTACCACCACTTAATTACAACATTGTAACAATACGATAACATGAAATTTGTAAATTTATAACGTGAAATTATAAACCAAAAACATAAAAGTTGGAATCTACACTTTTATGTAACCGTACTAAAACCCTAATGCTTAATCACATTAGGTATTAGTAAATCAAAGTTGTCAAGTCGATTATGTAATCAATCTTTATTATGAATGTTATGATTTTCTAAATATTTCATTGTAAAATTCAACTTTACAGTAAAGGAGGTTTGCTCCCTTCTTTGAGTTTCTGGGTTCAAACCTTGAAGCCACTTATCACAATAACATTATAGTTTACTGGTCCTTTGTGTTGGAGTTGTCGATTACTTCAGCATTAATAGGTTACGTAGACATATTCGAGGGTCCCGTTGCCCGATAAGCGGACAGGGGTCGCGAGGGCAACGCCCCCGAGCCTGTAGGCGATTTGGGCCTTTTCCATGTATAACCACTATAAGATTTCTTTAAGTTATTAATTCCTTATTGGGTTGGGCTTAGGAATATGAATCCTTGTAAAACTAGGTTTTGTCACTTAAACCTAGTATATAAATATATTTCTCTCTTGTTATGAGTGTGATAGCAAATCATAGGACAATTCATTCATTGTAAACGAGAGAGGGCTAATGAAATATTGTAATAATATTAACTCGGCTGGACAAAGCCCATATTAGATGAACCAGGGTAAATCGCGTGTGTTATTTTCTCTATGTTTATTATCTGTGATTTGCTTTATTGTTGTTTTGTTTTCGTTGCTGTCTCCATATCGTTCACTTTGGACTTGTGGGGTGTTCAATAGATCTCAAGAATAGGTTAAAGTGCGCACAAGCTAACCCGAACACCTTGTTTATCAAAAAAAAAAAAAAAAAAACTTTACTGTAAAAGCTAGTCTCATACATACATGAGTTAGTTTTTATTATTATGAGTTTAGGTCTGGATTTTATGCTTAAAAGTTAAATCAATGAGTTTTCGATCAATTATAACATTGCAAGGAAGATTCTTTTTGTTGATGCTTGATTTTGACACCAACTACTCGTAAGTGTAAAATGCTAAGCGGACTTAGAAATCACACGTGATATGGGAATATCAAATGAAATAATGAATGAAAGACGATATTTAAAGTGGTTTGGATGCTCAAAAACAAATCATACGTCCACTGCTATTGTATTAACAAAAGGGTAAAAATAGGTCACACGCAGCGAGCTAAGTTACAATTTAAAGAGAATACAAAGAGAGAGAGAGAGAGAGAGAGAGAGAGAGAGAGAGTAAGCTATTTTTGAGTAAGATTAGTCAATCCTGCAAATGAGAGGGGAGACCTCTATTTATAGTGAGAGATCTTAAGGTAATGATTACAAATCTGCAAGTGGGTAGATGCCGTGCAAATCCTTCTTTGGGTCCCAGTGGTTGCCTGCTCGAGAGATATCCTCAATTTGCGTAAGGTTTGGACACTTAGATGATCTCTAACCACTTGCAAGTCTGACACTCACCTACTGCGCTGACAGAAACCATACCACTTGCTCCATTGCGTGACGTGACCGCACCAAGACGACACAAAACTTCTTGAGCACTGATTGGCCCTTGCTGACGAGGCTCCGGTCAGTCCTAACTTTTCAAGCATAACACTTTTAGTTATTGATTGATATTGTTATGGAACCTGAGTTTTCCAGGATTCACGATTTGAAAGTATTTACTTGCCCTGAAAGAGCTCATAAAGTAAATGTAATTTACATCGTCTCTTTAATATTGAATATTACTAATATGACGTTACACGTTACTAGAATAGTAGAATGTAATCTCTGCAAGATTATGGGACCAGTTTCCTAAACCAGAGTAACCCTTAAATAACAAGCAAATACCACAGTTTCTATCCTTAATATGATCAAACACACCACATTGATTCTTCAATGGTGCAGCAGTGGTCCATCATTTTCAATGGTGCGAATTATGGTTCCCTGGTCCCTGGGCCCTGGAACTCTTCTAATGCTTCAATCACCACCATATCTATCAAGAATCAGAATAATTCATATAATGAAACATACAAGCTAGGTTGTACATCAAGGCACTACAGGAATTTTCAGTCTTTCTGAATTCCACACCTACTGATATGAGCTTCTTTAAGAGAGTTTTACTATCCGAAAACTCGCTATACATTAATTGATTTTCAGTTAAGATGATAAAGTTGAATGTGATGATATAAACAACTAGAGAAGGAGGTGGAAAACTGTAAGGAGAACCTATTTTTCAAGATTCAATGATCAAACTTGAGCTCGTCGTGTATACATAAATTAGAGTTTTATGCTAGCAACAATGGAGAGGTAAAAAGAAATAAATCAAAGTCCAAAACAAGATTTCAGGACTACTGTACATTCCCCTCCACAGCAGAGCATAGAAAGAACTTGAAAAATCCAAAAAAAAAAAAAAACCCAGATTAGATGAAATATAAATAAGGAAAACAGCTTAATCTGTAGTCATCTCACTTTGCTCTTCATTGAAGAGTGGCTGCTGGTTCAATATCTTTAAGGAGGCCGACTATCTGCTGCATGCTTGGTCGCTTCGATGGAAGGTCGGCCGTGCATAGATATCCAATCTTCAAGGCCTCCTCCATTTGGTTTTCTGGTCCTGTATCGTGAATTTTAGGATCAATAGCTCTTGATCCTTGGTTCTTTCTCACCAAGCCTCTAACCCAGCTCACTAAAGTTGCTTCTTTCTCGTCGGGGTAATCGTCTCCAACTGGTTTTTTCCCTGTTATCAGCTCAAACAGAACCACACCAAAGCAATATACATCCGATTTTGGTGTTGGGGAGTCACATTCAGGCTCAGAAAACTCCGGTGGAACATACCCAGGTGAGCCACGAGCAATTTCCTCATCCAAGCCATTTCCAAATATCTTGGCCAATCCAAAGTCGGATAACCTTGGCTCCAAATTTATATCCAGATATACACTGCTAGCTTTAATGTCCCTGTGAATTATCGGAGGTGAGCACCCATGGTGAAGAAATGCCAGTGCACGAGCAGTGCCAAGTGCTATTTTATGTCGAAATCTCCATGTTGTTAATAACCCTTCAGAGCCTACATCTTGGATCCCATTATTTCCATCTTCTTCCCATGTATCAGTGCTCCAATCCTCTGTTGTTTGAATCCCAAGCGGCAAGTCATGCAGCAAATTCTGCAAGTTCCCATTCTCCATGTAATCATAAATAGCAATTCTTTGATCACCAGCTAAACAATATCCGGTCAGTGGAACAAGATTTGGGTGCTTTATTCGACCAAGATACTCAAGCTCTCTTGCAGCTTCTTGTTCTGTCAATGTTGATCCATGGACTAAAACTTTTACAGCTACATGAATTCCACCAGGAAGGAATCCTCTATACACAGGTCCAAATTTCCCTTCAGCCAATAGGGTGCCTCGATCAAAATTCGAAGTTGCAGATAAGAGGTCTGCAAATGTGATATTCAACAAAGGCTTCTCAAAAATGACTACAGGCACTGAATTTGCATGCTTAACATCAGCAACCCATGTAGTTGAATCAGTCTGGAACGAAAAGGGGCCTGAAACATTTTGCTCTTCTTTATACGATGTTTGCTTTACAACCCACATTTTCGGTTTCCTTCTGCAACCAAAGGCTACAAACAGCAGCCCAGCAAGCAAGCAGACCATTGAGAGGGTCAAAGCTAGAGCAAGCTTGAGTCCCTTGTGTTTGGTTGCTTTCCTTCTAAAGAGGCTAGGGTTCGCCGCAATTGGGCAGTTGTTTGAAGACCCTAAGAAAGCTTTTTGTAGGATTTCAGGGGATATCTCTGAAGCACAAAGGGTTAAGTTGTTGTAAGAGAAGTTAAAAATATCCAAATATGGAAGTTTTCCCAACAGAGATACAGGGATTTCACCACTCAAATTGTTGCGTGAAACATCAATAATTTCAAGGTTTTTGATACTCAATAAAGGGATATGGCCACTAAGATGGTTCATAGACAAATCAAGTGTACGCAAACTACTCAATTCAGAGATTTCACTAGGAATATGACCAGTGAGGCTAGTTCTAGACAAATTCAGATACTCTAAACTCCAAAGAATTTCGATTTCCGGAAATTCTTGTCTGCTAAATCTATTGTAAGCTAGATTAAGATGCTTAAGATTCTGAGCTTGACTCAAGTTGTGAAAAATCTCTCCACTTAGCTGATTCTCAGACAAGTCCAGATAAACCAAATGAGACCAATTATAACTAGAGTTGAATTGTACCTGAGAAATGTGACCTTGAAACTGGTTCCTGCTGAGGTCAATCACCTGCAAAGGCTCCTGAAACACCCCCATAACAGAACCCTGAAACAAATTCCATGAAATATTAAGCCTACTAATGGACTTCATTCCTGTCAAATCTAAGTCCCTTCCAGAGATTTCATTTCCAGCAAGGTTCAAGCTTTTGAGCTTGGGAAATGCAGCACCAAAACCATCAGGCAAAGAGCCATTCAGCTGGTTCATTGAAAGATCAATTGTAACCAAAGATTGACAACTCTTGATTCCCTGTGGAATGCTGTACTGAAACATGTTGTTGTCAAGTTTCAGAACTTGAAGACTCACAAGTGAGCTTATAGCAGCAGGGATTTCTCCGGACAAATTGTTGTGAGAGAGATCAAAGACTTCAAGTGAGCCAAAATTGCCAATGTTGTTTGGTAAAGAACCTGAAATCTGATTGTTTGAGAGATTGAGGGTTGTGAGAGAGCCTAAACTCCATAAATCACCGGGAAAAGCTGTGATTTTGTTGTTGCTAAGATCTAAAACTTGAAGCTTGGTTAATTTGCCAATGGTGGTATCAGGAACTGGGCCTGAGAGGCCTAAATTGGGAGCAACTAAAGCAGTAACATGCTCTTTCTGAGAGTCACAGGTGACTCCTTGCCATGAACAAACAGGAGATGAAAAGTATGAAGCTTGAAAAGATTTAGAGCTCGTTTTTTTGAAGAACTCAGAGACGTAGAACCCATCTGTATTGGGTTGCTGAGAAAGTACAGGCTTGAAGAACAAAGCAAGAACCAATATTGAACTAAAGAAGCAAAACCCCATTTGAGAACAAAGCCTGAAGCTCAGAAAAAAACCCTAAACTTGAACTCTTAAAAGGTGAAATACCTCCTCAAACTTCATCAAAATCAGAACTTGGAAGAACAAAACCCCAGAAAAATGACAGTGAAAAAGAACAAAGAAAGGTAAAAAGTACACAGCAGAGATATCAAATGGAGGAGTTCTTGGTAAAAGAGAGAGAGAGAGAGAGGGACAAGAAAAGCCAACAAAACAGAGAATCCAACACAAGTGAAAGAGAATCACTTTTGTTACTGTTCAGAACATGAAGCAAAAGCACAAACAAGAACTCAACTAAACAACTTAAACTTTGTTTTGTTCCTTGAACATTATTAAAAAAAATATAGAAAAATAAATAAAATAAAGGAGTAAATGTAAGTGCTTTGGAAAGAGAGAGACAGAACAAAGATGAAGAGGTGGCGGTCAGAAGTTGAGGTTCATAAATGAGAAACAAGAGAGTGAATTGAAATATCAAATTGGGTTGTTGAATTTATCAGTGCTTCTCGGTGGTGTATTCAATGATTCTTCATGAGTGTTGATCACTTTCTATTTCCTTTGTTTACTTTTTTCTCTGTTGGGGATAATCACATATACCCCTCTTTTGTTGGCTTAATATCAACAAACCTCCATTGTTTCTCAGATTTCATAAAATACCCCTATCATGTAGCGTAAATGGTAAACCTAAATTGTGCGATGGTGGTGTTCAATATTAAAGTAAGTGTATTTTACTCATCCTGAAATGACACATTCTCATTAGTCGGTTGTATAGCAACATGTTGTGGAGAAAAGTTTCTCAATATTTGGTGTTTTTGTTTTTGAAAATGAATTCAAAGTAGAAAATAAGTTTAAGTTTGTATTATCAAAGTGTTTATTATCGTTTTCTGAAAATAGTGTTTGATAATTAAAAACGGTAAAATATGATGATTATATATCACTTTCTTATCATAAATATGTTATTTTGTAATATAGTAGAAATGAAATATAAAAAATCATTTTTTAATTATATTTACAACTTTTCCTTTTTCTTGTTTTTTGTTATTAAAAAAAAAAAAACCGAAATGATAAGTAAACAAGTATTTTCATATTCCAAGAAGAAGCAGAAAATGAAAACACAGAAAAACAATGAAAAATGAAAAGGATAGTGAAAGCACTTGTATTTTCTCAAGGGTACTTTTTTTTATTTAATTCAGAAACTATAATATATTACGTAATTTGGGCTAAATACGGGGGGGTAAATGAATTATTCATTACTTTTTTTTATTTATCTTGAGAGGAAGTTGGTCTATTTTCTTTATCTATAAAACTGCAAGCCAATAACTTTTTTCCTCTAAAAGAAAGTGGGAATTCCCTATTCCAAAAGTCTAATACCATAAAAGTTGGTAGATTTTTGTTGCATTTTTCTTCATGAGGAAAAAGGTTCCTTTTCATTTTCCAAAAATTCTTTTTTTTTAAATTTTTTTTATAATTCAATCTAACATGTCCCAAATTTCATATTCATGGCCAATTTAGAAGGAATTATTAGAATTTGGAAGTCACATTTAATTTGAAGCATTATTACAACAAGGGTTTATTTCATAGATATTGATTAATGCACAATTATCAACAAGCATTAAATATTTCATTATTAAGGGATTTTTGACACTTTCATAGCGGCTTTTTTTTTTTTTTTTAATTATCTTAAGGGATTTTTTTTATTTTTATAATTTAAGGATATATAATATTTATGATAATTGTGAATACATTTAATATTAATCGATCTCATGGGGTAAACAAAATAAACCCCACATAAAAACGCAATAACAAATAATAATATTTGATAACATGTAATACTATTGTTTTGATATTAAAAGATAGCTAAGACTCCTAAATTTAATAAAAAATATAAAAAAATCCCTTAAAGATAAATTAAGAAAAAAGCCACTATAAAAGTGTCAAAAATTACTTAATAAGGAAATATTTAATACTTTTTTTTTATAATTGTGAATACATTTAATTTAATATTAATTGATCTCACGGGGTAAACAAAATAAATCCAATATTTCGATAACGTGTAACGATATTATTTTTGATATTAAAAGACAGTTAAGACGTCTTGTGGGTAACGTTACCGGTAATGCAATATTATTCTTGTTAATTAGATTTTAAAAATGATTTTGGGGTGCAAGTGGGTAGTTGTCTTCCTTGACTAAAACCCTAGAAAAAAGGTTTTCTTTCACTCCATTTTCTCAAGGGAGTGTCAATGAAGTAAACTTAATTGCCATCTTTTTCCCCCATTTTGGGCTCCATAATTAAACAAATATATGATGGGACCATTCAATAGTTCAAAAAGAATGAATGTAACTATCACTCTTGTCTATAATTAAATTGGACCAATATTCTAGGATGTTTTGAAAAGCTTTTTATATGGTTAATAATCAAAAGTGATTCCAAATAGTAAAAGAGAAAAAAAGGGTATTATTCAACTATATACTATTTAATATAATTTAATAAAACTATACTTGAATAACTGTACTATATATTAGATCATTAGATTATGATTTATCGTGATCCAAGGATTTCGATGGAAACATGACCCTCAATACTGTACAACGTTAAACTCTGCTCATATCATCAGAAGTCATATTTCAATCAATTTTTAAATTATAATTCAGACGTCTAGATAGAAGATAACACGACCTTCAATATTATAGATTTATTTTGAACAAACATTTTTTTTTTTTTCAAAAATTAAGGGTAAAATGGTCATTATAGCACTTGTCTCATCATGTCAAACAACTCAAAATCAATCCACTTGAGGATTAAAAAACAAAAAAAAAAAAAGATGAACCAAGTTCATGGTATGATTTAGATTAGGGGGTAATCTTATTCTAAATGGGTTTGATGATTGAGCTGGTTTGGACCCCACAAAACCCATCACCTTGTTGAAGTACTTCCCTAATAATTGTGGATGCATTATTTATTATGCTCATTAAACTATTGATTAATCTTCTAATCTTAATTTAATTATTAAAGAAAAACAAAAACTAATATTGCTACATTGGGCAATTTGTTTATGTAGAGACACTCTATGTTTTTTTTTTTGTTAATATTTATTTTAATAATAAAGTGACGTAATAAATAATATATACACATAAAAATATCATATAAACATTCGTACAAATTCGACAAAATAAAAACTTCGTATCTCTAAACTTTATAAGTATAATATTATTCATTTTAATATAACCTTAAAAGAATCAATAAAAAGGAGAGTATAAATGTATTTGGCACATATATGGACGAACCTATATTGTGATGAGTGGGGGCCGGTGACCCCACTCAATATTTTTTCCATTAATTTAGTGTTTTTTTTTTTTTTTCACTTTAACGTATTTGTATTAATATTTCTAGATTTGACCACACTCATTTATTTTTAACTTATTTTATATTCTATTACTTTAATAAAAAATAAAGAATTGAGCATGCCAAGATCCTATAAGGCAAGAAGGTTTGGTGATGAGAAAGAAGAAGAAGAAATGTTTTAAATGATTTGCATTGATTGAGGAAGAAGAGTAATATTAAATCAACCCACAACTTTAATTATTCATTCATTTTCTTCTTTTGATCTTTTTAATATTTTTTTTTTCTTTTGTCACACTCATAATGTCACCTTCTTCTTCTTCTTTTCTTTTTCAACCCTCCATCTTCATCATCAATTTATTAAAATTATTAATTTCCATTTCTAATCAATGAGATCTCTTCACCCTCAACTTGATCAAACTCCAATTGGAGCCCATCATTATCGCTTAAATTTGTTTTAGATTGAGTATTCATAGTTGTAATTTTATAAAATTGTATTTGTTTTATTACAATTTCCTTTATTTTAATACAAAAACAATTTGGTACGAGGAGAAGGGATTTATAGTGTCAATATTCGATAATATTGTTGGATTGGTAGCGATAATTTGATAGGTGTATGTTAATATTAGTTTTCGATGTATGTTAAACCACTGAATAATATTATTGAACTAATAACATAATATTACTTGATAATTTAACATGAGGAGGAGTGAGTAATGTTGCGTTAATATTTGAAAATATCCTTATTATAATTATCATATATGAACCTAACAATAATATGGAATCAATAACGTAATATTACTCGACTAAGAAGCATACACATTTTTAGTTTGTTTGTTAAATAAGAATATATCATAATTAAATAAAAATTAAAAAATTAAATAGCTAGTCAATTGCTTCAAATTACTACCAAATTTATGTTAATTATGTCCTTATGACATAATTAAATCACATAATTTTGTTTAGTGTGGAGTTTCACTTTCAAATGGACAAAGTAATTAATTGTCTAAACAATAATCATTAATCATTAATTTCTAAATTAATCTAATTGATACACATAGCACTAAAATTTATTATTCATGTTGTAAAAATTATGTCTTCATGTTAATACCTACCACAATGTGGCCCCTAAGCTAAAATAAATGTCAAACAATTCTACCAAAATTTTATGGTACTTTAAATTGAGTACTTGTAGAATTAATATTCAATTTTATGTCAAAAACCAAGTTTCCAATCATTAATTTCGATCCTATAAAAAGAAATTGTACTTATTATAAAATAAAATTTCTTGTTCGGCTCTAATTTTTTCTTAATATATGTATATATCTTTTTTAGATTTATCTTCTCTTAATTCTTGTTCCTGAAGCCCATAAACAACTAAAAACATATCACTTTTGGTGGGGTTTTTGAAAGTAATAAACAGGTTTAGGTAAAACTCATTCTCAAAAATTAGTTTAAAGAATGAGAAAGCCCAATAATTGTCTATCAAATTAACGATGTGAGATAAATACAATTTCTAACACTCTTTTTCATGCTTAGTGTGAGCGGTCCGGGCCTTAACCAAACTCATCAAAATTTACAATTTCTTTAAACAAACGTGTTTTTGATACTATAATAAACAAGTTTAAATATTACTCATTTTCAAAAGTTAGTTTCAAGAAAAAGGGAATCTATTAATTTACCAAATTGGCGAGACGGGCAATACAAATTCTAACGTGGAAAATTAAAAAATAAAATTGTTTTCCACCTTTGATTAAGGATAATCCAAAGATATTGTCAGTTTGTCACGATAACACAACATTATTAAAAAACAAATATGAAATATCGTACTAGACATAATTCTTATTTTTATCATATGGTTTATTGTATTGGGATAATCAATTTTTTTTATTAATTTTTTGACATGACCGAGGTCAATTAGATTCCATTTTGAAAGTTATTTCGTGTCTTGTGCCTCTGTATAATCCAGTTGTAACCCATTATTCTCATGGCTTGTTTTGTTCTTATTATTATTATTTTTTAATTTTTATTTGTTTATTTATTTTATACCTTTTATAAAGTACATAAAATAATCTTAATTAATAAAAGTAAATAAATTAAAAACAAAGTTTGTTCTATAGAGAAGGCTGGTAGTTGATTGTTTGGCTACCTAAAACTAGTCAGTATTTACTTCCATAGAGCAATTGTCTCCATTTATTACAAAAGCAACCTCGGCCACATATTCTAACAAGAATTCTATCTTAAATTGAAGTTATGGTGGTAATTTCCATTGTGAATTTCAATAAGGTAAGAATTTAATAACGTTATCGTTTCAGTATTTTTGTTATAGATTATAATATTTCAGTTTCATGATATAATGTTTTCGTGTCGATAGTATATAAATAATAATTAATGATAATAATTTTACGAATTTAATTAAATGATAAGCTCTCCTTGAGATTTGTGAAATAATAAAAGATCATTTTACCATTTAAATGGTAAAAAACATTATTGACAAATAGTTAAATAAATATTTATAAACTTATAATAGTGTAATTTCTAATAGGTTACTAATGGTATATTTTTTTTTTTAATATCAAAAGCATCAACGAGAGTTTTGTAATTTAATCAAATTTTAGAGGATTGATATTAAAAGGAATAAATAAATATATAATCATTTTCATCTTCCGTAGACATTATGATTTTATTAAAATCTAAAGTAGGATTCTTTGACACGAGAAATAATTAATTAATTTTTTTTTTAACATAATTGATACTAGAAATTTGGTTTAAATTTAAGATTAAAAAAGAAAGAAATGGATCTTGTTGAGACTGCTTCATGGAAATAAAAAATAAGCTGAGAAAAAGGCCAAGATGAAAAGCACATATGATGATTGAAGCAAATGAAACTTTCACAAATTTGAGAGAAAAAAATATTATTTTCTCTGCCGAAGCCTGAAGGTTGGAGCTTTTATTTACCTATTATTTCACTTTCTGATCAAAACAAATAATTAAACAAAAACCAATCAATCATCACAACCACAGCTTTATATAATACAAATTAAACCTTCATTAATTAATCACTAACTCAAATTAATTAAATTAATAAATAAACTAGTTAGTGAATTTAATAATACTATTCATGATTAGTGAATTTAAAACATTTTTTTTTTTTTTTCCTTTTGTTTCTGATTTTTTGTTATATGTTATAGTGTGATGTGAAAGTGCAAGAATTTACAATTTGTTATAATAAGACCTTTTAATGTCACATTATGACCTAAAAATATAAACGCATATTTTATAATTATTGGTTGTCTAAGCACCCTTATAGTATCAGTTATTTATCTTTGACAATTAAAAAATTCTCTAATTATATTGTGCTAACGTGTATTTGTTTCACATCGTCAATTTTATAAATTGTTGTCATATATATAGCTGGGTTCCAGTAATGAACAGTGATAAATAATGTTATATGAACAGTGATGAATAGTGCAGCAATGTTAGAATGTGGCGATTTTTGGCATGGCACTTTGAAACGGTTAAATAAGTTAGGCTCATGGCAAACAAGCTGTGTCGTTTTTTAGCCTTTTGGAATCGTTTAGGTGGGTTTTTAGACCTTTTTCTTTGGGTTTTTCAGGGGTGTGTTTGCAAACTTCTGGACTTTTTTGGGTTTATTGGAACTTTATTAATATTTTGGGACCTTTTAGTTTTTTAATTTTTTTCTTAGTTTTTTGGATTAGGGTAAAAAAAAGGCTGTTATAGTCGCAATAGGACAGTTTTTTATGATTATTTTTATTATTTGAAAATTTAAGCACTTTTTGTGGTTACTTATTCAATTCAGTATCTGAACTTGATACATTCGATGGTGATTTTTTGTATCAATTGTTCCTTGATGTTCAGTCATCTTTTTGTTTTGACATCAGTTTCCTTCTCTTTTGAATTAGTTTTTGAAAGTTAATTCTACTAAACTTATATATCATGGTATCAGATTTCAACTATAATGCACTACTTCAGTTCCCTTCTCTTTTGAACTAGATTTTAAGAGTTAATTCTACTAAACTTATTTATCATGACATCAAATTTCAACTATAGTGCACTATTTCCTGATAGTATACCTTTTAAACTTGAGTTCCATCCAAACCCGTTTATAATATCTTTTACGATTCCAGGTTCAAAACTGAAGTCTCATCATATACTACAATATTTGAAAAGTGAACTTTAAGATCTAATCAATAAACTGTAAAATGATGGGAAAACATTATCGGCAAATAATTATTATTGGACAGTTTAAAAAAAAAATTAAAATTCACATAAAAACTGAAATGACAGTGTATATATTGAAGATAAAGTTATCTTCGGCAAATTATCTATAAAATGAAAATTAAAAGAGAATTTTGGTGGAATTGAAAGGTAACAGTGCCAATCAGCCAATGCAACAAAAGTTTGAATCTGATGCCATAAAAATAAACTATTCTGCATGAGTTACTTATGTTTTATATATTTTAGATGCCTTGGAAAAGCATACATATGGGTTATATTTTTGCCTTTAATTATAAAGCACAAATTAATTCATTGAATAAATAAGATTTTTTATAATATAACAAAGTGCCCACAAAGTTGATTAATTAATATTTGATTCTTAATATAATCATGTGAAGACTTGAGGCATTACTTTTGAGAATTGGGTTAACACAAATAATTAGTTTTATGGTAACATTAATCTTAATCATGATTTGTAATGGCCAATAAATATGATTGGATGGATACAAATTTTATAGCATTACAGAAAAGAAAAATGGGGAGAAAAAAGGCTCCTGGCTCTTTAGCTTTTACATTCTGAAGAAAATTACTCTTTTGGTTCATACAGTTCCCACAAAGAAGAATTAGGTTATAAAATAAAACAAAAGCTCATCTCCAAGTTCTATACCTCAAACAAACGTATCCCAGAAAAGGCAAGGCCAAAACTTTCTAAAATATTGGTATGTTTGGAGTGTTTCTGGGTTACTGGTTTTGCTGCCAGACACAAAAATTTACTTATCATTTAACAGAAGGCTCACAGGTCAAAATTACTCACTCTCTATGGACATGGATTGGTTTGTTCATATCCTGAATGGTCGGTCTCCGGAACTCGTGTGGCTCAACTTTGCCTTCTTGAATTGTGTTTTCTTGGTTGCGATTTCTTGGAAAGGATTTGGTTCACCAAAGCTGTGTTTTTGGTTCCTTAGCTTCTTTCTTTTACCACGGTCGTATTCCTCATCCCTGTACAGTTTAAACGATGGTTTAGCATAATTAAGGGTTGTGATTACTAGTTTATTTTCAATATATTGTAAGAAAGTATTACTTGATATGAATATAAGCTGCAACATATTGGAGATCATAAAACTCACCACTCATCCAGAACATAGCCAATGCTTAAACTCCTAGTGTTGGCAGATTCTACAGTAGGAGGATGCAATTCGATCCCATCCCAACGTGCAACTGCAGTAAGCAAAGGCCAAAGAACAACATTCAGTATGCAGAATAGAAGGAAGATGAACAGAGACTATAAAATAAGCTACTACAAACAGTACCTAGAAGGTCTGTTATCTAACTACATGTGAAATCCTAGGCAGCAAACAATATAAGATGTTTAACTTAATTGAGTTGCAAATAACGCTCCCCAAGAAAAAAAAAAAAAAGCTATTGTAACTTTTTTGCTGCTAAACAATGGAAATCAAAGACAACCTAAGTTGCATGTATCATGTATACAACCCTTCCACAAGGAGTGGAAAGTTAAAGTAAGCCAATTCAAACACTTCATGGTTAAATGTTACACAACATTGTCTCAGATAAGAGCTCATTTAACCGGATGCAAAGAGCATAAAGAAAGCATTGCACATAAATATGGACCATAAANTGCACTGATATTCCAAAGGTTCATATCATCTTGATTACATTACGTAGCACATTTTGAAACTCATTTTGGGGTTTTAGAGTTGTTCCATCTTGACCCATTGGATTGATAAATAGGATTTGTGGTTTAATGAGCCCAATCAAATTGCTCAATCTTAACATGTTGGGTTTGTATTTATTGTTCCATCTACAATTAATAATTAATAAAAAATATTAGATCTATAATAAAATAATAATAATAATAATAATAATGGTGCACTGTATTGGCATTCCAAAGTTGTAACTATTTTGACGTGTTGGATGTGCATTAATAACAAGTATACAGGTGCATTGGATTGCTATTAATAATTGTGGTTTAATGACATCTATCTAGGATTGCTATTAATAATTATATAGGTGCATTGTATTAACATTGCATCCTTTCTTAGTATTCAATTTGTATTTAATTGTGTTGGCATTCGAGAGGTCTTAATAAGAGGTTATAAAAGGAGCGTATGTTCAGTTGTGTATTATTGCAATATGTTAGTTGATGTCAACAATACGTTTGGTCTTTTGTTAATTATTTATAGGTCATGTTAGTTTGTGTCAATAATACGTCTATTCTTTATGATTTTGTTAATCAATGATTTTTTATTTATTTATGTTTTTGTTCTTATTTATAGGTCAAAGATTCATGAATTGACATGGAATAAAGGTAGGATGTCTGATTGACATTGTCAAATGAGTTGTTATTTTGATTCATTCTTTTGAACTGTAAGTATATCTTCTAATTATTTTAATACGAAATTGTAAGTATATCTCCTAACTATTTTAATGGTTATTATTTGATCGTCTGATTGTTTTTGTTTGGTCAATCTATTTGAATGATTAATTGTGTTAGTCTTGCGGAATGGTAAGTGTATTCATTTACAATTTTAATATAAAGATTAATTAACTTTTGTTGATTTTGTTTTCAGGTAACAGTTTTATACAAATGAATAATTGTTCCTTAACAATCTTAACATGAAGATCAATTAAATTTTGTTATGTTTGTTTTCAAGGAAATGTTCATGTACTTTACTAAGATCAAATCGAGGATCATCCTATTGTCAACCGAACTGTGAGTATGTGTTATATCTATATTAGTAAAATTAGTTCATTTGTGTTGAATATGTTTTTTGTAAAAACATTCGCGTATGTTAATTTGTTATATGAATGATTAATTGTTTGTCCTGTTAATGTGGGAGTATATATGTTAAAACAATTAATTTTGGCTGATTACGTTTTCCAATTAATAGGTGTTATTTGAAATATTTCCTATCAGTCTTAATATGATAATCCCTTAAATTTGGGTTAAGTAAACCATTCATTTTATCATTACACACATTTCAATTTCCACTGAACAATTAGTAGTAAATTGACCATAACTTGCTCAATAAAAGTCCAATTAATGAGAGGATTGAATATTTAAAAACTAGATAGACATGGCCTTAATTTGATATATCATACGCTTAATTTGGATAACTGTAGCCCTACCGCCGAACAATTCATTTTATCATCACACACATTTGGTTTTCTCTATTTCTTGATTTTCACTGAACAATCAGTAGTAAATTAGTCATAATTTGCTCAATAAAAATCCAATTGATGAGCGATTTGAATATTTAAAAACTAGATAGATAGAGCTTTAATTTGATATATTATACGCTTATTTTTCATAACTATAACCCCACTGCCAAACTATTAATTTTATCATCACAAGCATTTTGGTTTCAACTAAACAGTCAGTAGTAAATTGACCATAACTTTCTTAATAAAACTCCAATTGATGAGAAATTTGAATATTTAGAAACTAGATAGAAAGGGCGTTAATTTGGTATATTATACACTTAATTTGGATAACTGTAGCCATATTGTCGAATCATTCATTTTATCATCAAATATTTTGGTTTTCACTAAACAGTCAGTAGTGAATTGACCATAACTTACTCAATAAAACTTCAATTGATGAGAGGTTTAAATATCTAGAAACTAGATAGATAGGGATTTAATTTGATATTGGATAAATATAGCCTCGCTTCTGAACCATTTATTTTATCATCACACACATTTTAGTTTTTCCTGTTTCTCAATTTCCACTGAACAATCAGTAGTAAATTGATCATACTCAATAAAAATCCAATTAATCAGCGGTTTGAATCTTTGGAAACTAGAAAGATAGAGCTTTAATTTGATATATTATACAATGAATTTGGATAATTATGAACCTACAGCCGAACCATTCATTTTATCATCACACACATAAAACCAATTCAATTTTAGTGATAACAAAAGAAAACAAATATTGATATGCAATTTTAATTGTATTTGTTCTATCTCTTTTTGTTGATATTTTTTATGTTATATACATATATCAAAAATAGGTTGTTGTTGAATACAACAAATTTTATTTGTATTACAAATGTCATATGAAGTTTGTTGTCAAGCCATGTAGTTTTAGTAAACCATTTGTAATATGCTGAACCATAATTATTATCCTTAAAAAAAAAATAAATATTGATATATAGTTTTAATTGTAATTGTTCTATCACTTTTTGTTCATATCTTTTTTTTGTTATATACATGTATCATGAAAAGAGATTGTTGCTGAATATTACTAATTTCATTTATTTAACAAATATCAATTGATATTTGATGTTGAACGATATAGTTTTAGTAAACCATTCATTTTATCATCATACACATTTAGGTTTCTACTAAACAATCAGTAGTAAATTGACCATAACTTGCTCAATAAAACTTCAATTGATGAGATGTTTGAATCTTTGGAAACTAGACAGATAGAGCTTTAATTTGATATATTATATGCTTAATTTAGATAACTGTAGCCCTACAGTCAAACCACTTCTTTTATCATCACACATATTTTGATTTTCACTTAACAATCAATAGTAAATTGACCATAACTTTCTTAATAAAAATCCAATTAACGAGAAGTTTGAATATTTAGAAACTAAAATAATAGGGCTTTAATTTGATATATTATAATCTTACTATATGTAATCCACGAAGGATACTATGGTCCTTTTATCTCTAAAATTGGATCAAAGTGTTAATATAACGGTCTAACTTAGCCTTCATACCTTCAAGATCTTGCCAATGGAAGCATCCAAGAAGTCTGGCAAAGACAGAAGTCGCAAAGTATGGCCCTGCAAAGAACAATAGTCCAGCTCAGTAGCATATTCTGCTCAACTGAATGATATAAAGGTAAAAAATTAAATGAGCAAAAGAAATATGGAATGAAGTAAATGTGATAATGGAGACTTACCACTGGGAAGTAAATGTGGCGGTTGAACCGGCTATACTCTTCACCAGGAACTCAACCGCGTCAATCGTGGACACAAATGATGGCAGAGAAGCGGCAGTGAGAAAGGTCGGCTTGGCTGTGTTGGCAAAATTAGAGTACGGTGGTGCTGCATGCGTGGAGTGCCACTGACATCGCAAATTTGGGGGAAATGAATTTTGAGACGCAGATTTGAATTTGAGAATTTAGATGCTTTCAATTTTGCTAATCACGGTTATTGAAGGAATTTTATTTTTTGGGTGAACTGACGTGGCAAATGTCTGATGTGACAGATGAGGTGGCATCTGCCACATCAGCGGTATGTCAAAGTCTGTAATTAATGGCAACTCAACTTCTTACAATCACACCTCTGTCGCTTCAGTCGCTCTTCATCTCACACGCCGCCGCTCTATCACCTCCTCCATGCGACACCACAATCATCTCCAGATCCATCACCGTCGTCCTGCTTCCTGCACTTGCTGGTGACCTCTCGATTCTTCCACTCCGGTCTCGCGATTCGGCGTATCGGTGGCGCAGGAGTCTATAGTCGCCTCGGCATCGCAACAATCGCCTGACCCTCTCCTCTGCGTCGATCTCCTCTCCGATCTCATCTCCGCCATCGACGAAGAGCCCAAGGTCGGTCGATCTAAACGGTGCGTTTTCTTGATGCACTCATTTTTACTCCAAATGTGAATTTTAACTGTGCGATTTAATTTAGTTTTTTTTGGTTACTAAGAGAGAGACTTTGCAGAGAACATTTGCTGAACTCTATTTACAAAACATTTTTCCTTTATTCATTTGCTTCTACGGTTATTTTTACCAAGAAATTAGGGTAATTGTTTTTAGTATTTGTGTTTGTCTTGTGGTGAAAAGCAGGGTTTATGAGAATGGGTGTAGCGGTTTTGAGCGGTGAAGAAGCAATGGAAATGGAGTTGGAGACAGAGAAGAACAAGACTAAGAAGGATGTGTCGTCTGAGGTGGTTAGGTGGGAAAGATTTCTGCCGAGGATGGTTCTTAGAGTTCTATTGGTAGAAGCAGATGATTCTACACGTCATATTATCTGTGCTCTTCTTAGATATTACAGTTACAGAGGTATTACTTTAGTGCTTCTCTTCTTCTTCTTTATTCATTTTCATTTTACTTTTAGTTCTTCTTGTACTTTTTTTTTTTTTTATTTGTAATGATACGAGGTACTAGAAAAAGGAAATGAACTTCAATTGGGTATCTTTTAACGAACCAGTAGTTTTTAATTTGATAATTTAGATGTGAACATTGGTTTGAGATGCTTAATTTTATCATCAGATCTCACAAACTTCATATGATGTTAATGGTGGTTGAATTTATGTTTGCCGTAATTTGGGTGTGGGAGTTTACATAAACCTGCTTGCAGTGTATAGATCTATCTTTGACAGTCAATCTCACAATCACAACGCTTGATACAAATGCAGAAGACGACGCAAGCATGGTTCATCAGAGGTCCGAGCACTGCCAACTCAAACGACCACCAACAAAAGCCTTTGTCTCTGCTGGCTGATTGGAACACTTACGCCTTTTCTCAAGAATCCGATTCCTCCACATTCGATCTTGAAGCTACTGTCCGCACCACCACCGACAAAGTCAGCGGCACTTTTAGCGTTTGTGATGAGTTTGAGAGGTTGAGTGGATTTTCCTCTTTGGTTGCCCTGCTGGTGCTAACTTCGTCAATGCTCTTCCTTCAAGTATCTTCATATTTATTTATTTATTATTTTTTTTTTTAATGTTTAATTGTGGCAAGTTCAGATTTATTTTTCTTTCTTTTTTTTTTTTTCATGATATTTCTTTTTTCTAATTTCCATTTTGGGTTTTGAATTAGAATGGCGGTGGGGCTGATGAAAAGCTTGAGGACTCTGGGAAAACCACTTCTGAGGTGCATGATGAGGCTGAGCAGGAATCCAGATCTTAGGTATTCTCTCACTCTATGCAATTTGTTTATTAGGTTATTGTGTATGTTTAATTGCTGTGACTGGTGATTAATGGATCTCATTTGATGTCAATTTTTGCAGATAGATCTCAGAGTTGCTTTGGGGCCAGGGTGTGTACAGTGGCGAAGGAATCACAACTGAATAGTTGTTTAGAAGGTTTTATGCTTCTTTTTTGCATGTTAGTTTCCCTACTCTGTCTCAATCATGGCTTATTATGGTAGTTGATAATGATAAAAATGTATATTTTATAACTAAATGTTGATAAAAAAAAAATTACAATAAAGCCTTCCTGATACAACTATACTGCATGTTAAACTGTGTTTATAGTCTGAATCCGGATATTCTTGAAACTGTCATTAATTAACCAGATTAAACATCAACATCTTCACCTACTTTACACATTTCAGACGTACATTGCTTCTTAATTGAGGACATTAATATATACTAACAAATTTTTTTATTTTTTTTTATTTTAATAAAAAACTGTATGAGATTGACAGAATGTTTGATAAAGTTTGTGTTACATTCATGATGAATCCTGGGGAGTTCCAGTTTTTGATGACAAGTAAGTCAGTTGTAATATTTAATCCAGTGAATATATAAATTATGAAAAATCAGTGCCAACTTTTAAATGGTAAATTATCATCAAACAGTCCACTGTTCGAGCTACTTGCATTGTGTAGTATGTTGATGGATTACAACAGGAATAAAATATTGAAAAGAAAAGAATTATTCAGGTACTACTTCTTTTGCACTACTCAAATGTAACTAAAATTTACATATTTCAAGATACCTTCATCATAAATCTAAACATTTGGTCGATAACATAGAGAAGCTTTCGTGGGATTCGATCCTGTGGTTGTTGCCAAAATGGGGAAGAAAGAGATCTTAGAGATATTATCAGACAAAGCAATAATGTTGGCAGAGAGTAGAGAGAGGTGCATACTAGACAATGCCAACTGCATAATGAAAGTAAGTTTGAATATTCAATTCCTCAGTATATATTTACTTTTTCTGCAATCTCTTTGAATTGCAGTGCTCATTAGTTGCTCACTTAACCTCATTGTCCAAATGCAGATTGTGAACGATTTCCAGTCCTTCAGTAGCTTTATGTGGGGTTATGTAAAAACCAGTGATTAACAAATACAGATACCCAAGAAATGTTCCCTTAAGGACTCCAAAAGCTGAAGCCATCAGCAAGGATTTACTGAAGCGGGGGTTTTAATTTGTTGGACCGGTGATAGTTTACTCATTCATGCAGGCAGCAAAGCTGACAATTAATTGGTATTCTCTCACTCTATTCAATTTGTTTATTGGGTTATTGTATATGGTTAATTGCTGTGACTGGTGATTTACCTTTGAGATGATCGTTACTTAAGATAAGGTACCCTAAAGAAGAGAGTTTGCCAATCCAACTTAGAATATTCCCTTTGAAGTGGTTATAGCTAACAACTAAGACTACCAACTGAGAACTATTAATGTAGAAAGCATCTTTTAACTGTCGTTGCAATCTATTTCTTGACAAGTGAACTTGCTTGATTCCTGTAGGGCTAAAACAAGATGGAAAACTTCCAGAGATATTATTGTCTGAAAGGTCCAAAATTTCAAGATCATCAATTTGACTTAGTTCTTTCGGAATTAGACCTTCAAATTCATTATTTGACATTACAATAACTTCTAAAGTTGATAGATTTCCAAACCATCTTGGGATCTTGCCTTAGAGATGTTTACTTTGAGATACAATACTATTAAAGAATAGCAATTCAACAAGCTTTTTGGGATCTCTTCACTAGAATGATTACATCCAATTGTAATGTTACTAAATTTGTGAAGTTCATATTATTAGAGATAAGATATGACCTTGCAAATTGTTGTTTTGATAATACTAATAGTCGTAGTAAGAAGCACCCTATGGCCAAGTGCTCAGGCAATCCGCCAGCCAACTTATTGCTTGATAAGTCCAGAAATTTCAAGGAGCTCATATTACCAAAAGAAGATGGAATGCTACCATTGAAAATATTTATAGAAATGTTCAATTGTATTAGCTTTGGTAGTTTTGCACCAATCTCCATTGGAATTTGGGCATGAAAGAAATTGACGGAGATATCTAATTCTTTTAAATGTATGTTGGTTTGAAATGGCAATAGGAAAGTTTCTAAAGGAGAATTATTAACTAGACAAAGTGTTTCTAGGTGGGTATTGTTGTAGAACAACCAATGCGGAAATTCTCCACCAAAGTTAATGTGAGAGAGTTGAACTTGTTCCAAGTCATGTTGATGGTAAAGAAATTTGGGAAAAGTGCCACCATTTCCACAACCAGACAACGTGATGGAATTTAATTGAAATTTTGGGGTCAAAGAATATGACATGGTTTCAAAATATATTTGGTTATTTGTACTCTTGAAATATTTGAGGTTTGAAAGGTTAAAAAACGAATTGAGTGACACTGGGACTTGTAATTGTTTGAAATGACTTTGATGGATGGTAGATCTTAAGGGGAGATGAGATGTTTCCAGTAATTTGATTGGAAGAAATATCTAATTGCTTAAGTGAAGTCAAATTTGCCAAACATGGAGGTAAGGGACCCCCTAAATCATTATAGCCAATATACAACTCTTGCAAATGCACCATCTCATACAAGCCTGAAATAAAACATGTCATTTAATTATTAACATATATAATTCATAAACATTTACAGCAAATATTAGTAAATCAAATTTCTTATTAAGATAGGCATGATTTTAAAATCTTTTTTTTTTTTTTTTTGGTCACTATTTCAATTTCATCAATTAATACAAAGTGATCACTTTAAATTCATCGTTTATTCTTTAAGCTGTTTATTATCTTTTTTGTCACTTTTTCATTTCAAGCTATTACATGATCCGTGTAAATAATTTTTTTAAAATTTTTATTGATTGCATATGTATGTATTGGATTTTAAGCTAATACCAAATATAGTTGCATAATCCAAAGTTAATCTCAAATGATTAAAACTTAATAACAAGAAAAATGTAATACACAGAAAAAGAAAATGAAAATAATTTAAAACTGGTATCAGATGCCATAATATAGTGAACACGGACTGGAATTAAAACTATTGCTTCGATAAACTGTAAGCTGATAAATTATACACAAAACGCCTAAAACTACATACGAACCCCTGACAATCTTTTGTCCTGGACCATTTTAGATGGACAGTAAGCACATAAGGTGCTTTGTGAACTGTGAGCTACTTGAGAGCCCTAACTTTCCGCTTGCATCGTAGGCACTGGTACTGCTTCTCCCCTCCATCTAACAGCTCAGCGCAGTGAAATTTGTAAGGGCTTTATGCAAAGAATCAGTCTTGTGTACTTCAAGACTTAAATCTAGGAAGGGATCAAATTTGTTGGAGCCGTAAGAACATTGCATACATTTGACCTGCACAAGTAATAAGAAACCGTTCAAAATGTAATAGAAGCATCCAATGTTGAAATCTCATAATTCACCATGTAATCTAAGCTTTCCCACAGTTTCTCCTGACCACCTTCTCACTTAGTAACCAAACCACCTTGAAGCAATAATAAAAATAATAAAAAATTAATCAATTAATAACTACCTAACTACGTAAACGACCACCAAAGATCTTGTGTACCAAACTCTTCTCATAAACACTTATGCATTGATTCCAGCAAGTTCACCATGCATTCATGCGCATCCTCCTGTCTTGAACTTCTAAAGTTTCGAGATATGCCTAATGAATGGTCAAGGATTCCAAATTCTAAGAGATGCATAGGAAGAAACTCACTGCCATTGAACATACATGAAATAGAACACATAAGACTTAGCAAGGATACATCGCAAGTTTAAGACAAGATCCTTTGGTGCTAGTATTCTCCCAGGCGCTTGCAGAGCACGGCTAACATGTTTCTGAATGGCACACAAGGCACAAAACCCAGAAATACGACCTTCATAGATTAGTGATTGAAAATCAGCACCGAAACATAAAACTGCCCTTTGCGATGTACAAACAGAATACATACATGCACAATTAATTAAAATGAGACAACAATTACTAGAGACAACAACATCAAAAGAAGTTCAATAAAAATGGGGCGCACACAGCCAAAAGAAAATACTAATAATAAAACAAAAGCATAAAAATGTAGAAACATCATAAAAGAATAGATTCCTTTATGGTCATAAATGGCAAGCCCGAGAAAGAGATATTTTCATCTCTTCTTTTTCAAATACTCTTCTTGCGTGCTAGGAAGGAGAAGGACCTACTAAGTAAGTCATTTTAAAATCAATATCATGCATGCTTACATGAAAATTCAAAATCATAACAAGGGATTAAGAAAAAGTATCATCATCATGCTTATATATTTTAACACAAGAGCCCTATAAACCATAGATTTTCTTCGGCTATTTACACAACTTAATACCAATCAAATATACTACATCCTAATTTGTACTGAGTAGAATGGATTAAAAAAATCTTTAAACCTCCACTGAAAGTGGCGACTTATTAAATGTGCTCCTCTCAACCAGCCATTATTCTAATTACTTGTATCTAAAAATTAAATCACACTCACAGTGACAATACATAAACCACAAAACCTTCTGAAACAACTATGGAAGTCTTTGAACTTTATTTTCAATGAAGCAACTACATATCCATGGGAGATCAATATCAAAGCTAAATGTGCTTCTATAACCCCATCATAAGAAATAAAAGTACAGCTAGACACATAAATTGATTCAGAAATCGGCATGCCTATATTATTGTGTTCATGGATATAAAAGGCAAAAAAAGAAAGGATTGATCAGAAATAGAAAACCACTTACAAGAATTTCGATGCTTGCCACTCTGCAAGTATGCCGCTAAAGGCTCTGTATATGTCAGACACTGCAACACTGAATTGAGAAAACAAGTATTTCCAAGATTTTCAAAACCAGCACCCTGTAAGTCATACATATCATTATCGATAAGTTTAGGTTCAACACAAAACCAAGTTCATCACATCTATTACCTAAAAAGCGTCATACATTTGCCATTGAAAAAATTGACACCAAATTTATTCGAAATGCCAAATTCAGCTAAATACCAAGTCTTTGAGCTGAAATCACCAACTGATAACCACAATTTAACATATCTTAAACTATGGCAACATACTATAATCCAAAATAATAACAAATATGATGTACGATCGGTATTTCGTTATTACTTTCATTGCACATTTGTAAAGACATATAGACTACCAAAACCATTAATTCCAGTAACTATACTACAATTTTACTCCCGCACCATAGCAATTCCCCTAAAATAAAACATGAAACTAACAAATACTCATAAATTACTGTTACCATACTGGGATTTCACTTCCTGTAACATACCAATTGCCCTTCAACAGAACTAAATCAAACTACAACGAAACGATCGAATTCCAACAAATTATCAATACAGAAAAAATTCATTCAAAGCCATAGAATTAAAAAAAAAAAAAAAAAAAACAAGGCAATCTTTACAAACTAAACACACTCACAATTCTCCGAAAAGTCATCCCGAAACTCAGCTCAGGATCCAACCCACAATCCCAAAACTCCGACCCATCAACTTTCTTCCCCGACCCGCCACTCGGACCTTGTCCTTGACCTGTCCCAGCTTTCTTCTGCTCCGACCCACTGGGATTCAGCGTCTCCAATTTAAAATCACCATGGTCACCACCATTACTAAGCCCACTAAAGACTTTTCTAGCCGGATGAAACTCGATCCTTCTTTGGAACCCAGAAAAGGATCCGCCTCCAGGATCCGAATAGCCGCCCGCCACTGCCACTTGAACTTCAGTAATTATATTCTCCATCACTTGAAAATGAATGAAAAGATTTGACTTTTGGGATTAAAATTGAATAGAATTGATAACGGGGTAAAGAGGATTGGAAATTAGGGTTTTTATTAAGGTGGGTGTTGTAAAAAGCAGAGCAGAGCTGTTTTGGCTTCTGCAAAAGAGAAGGGCTTAAGCGAGAGTAAGGAGTATTAAACCCTACTCGGTGGGGTAACATGTCATTTTTCTTTTGGTTGAGACTTGGGGGATTTTTTCTAGTTTTGGGTGTGAATGTAATGATATTGATATTTTGGGACCTCTCAAGTCCAATTGATTCGTTAAGCTGTGTTTTTTTTTTTTTTTTTTTTTCCAACTGTGGGATTAAATTCTTGAGATAAAACGGTCCACTTGAATTGGGTATATTATTATTAATGTACAATAATAATAAAGATATTGATTATTATTTCATTTAATTTTAAAATCTTTACTATGTTAATAATTAGAATATCATAGCAATTTGGGAAAAATTGTGGATAAACTTTGAAATATTTTGAAGTATTTTTATTAAAAAAATTATATAGAAAATGTCTATGTCAACAAATTTACTTTATCTTCTTTATTGATGAAACTTTGGTGCAATGATGCTATTTAATGGTGAACTTTTGTCAATGCAGTCCACAAGAAAATGATTTCCTTAGTAGCTACTTCTAAATAATGTGATATAATTTAGATATTGAATATAGTATTTCATTAACTTCATTAATTAATATATTTTTAATTAGAATATCAATCAATTGAGAGAAAAAAGTGTTCCATAATTTTTAATAAAAAAATAACACATATGAAGTATTTTCAAACTATATAAGTTTATAACTTCATTTAATGATTCAATAAATTTATTTTATCATTTGACTTAAAGAAAATACATATTATTGAAAAAGAAAAAGTTGACATATACATGTAATATTACAATCATATTTCAACCACGAAATTATTGGAGATGGTCAATAACAAAATAGTAACAGGAGATCATCCACTTCTCCACAAGATAAAACCATGTTCGTCTCCAATAAGGATTCACATACAAAATTCCAGCAATCACTAAAAGCACAACTATGTAGGTCACCACAAAAGTGATATAGAAGATGTCCACGTCAACAAAATGACAATCTTCTTTGCTGTCAGTTGAAGCTCCTCGTGTTGATGATGGTGATTCCATTGGGTTGCAACTTTTGTTCAAAGGCGGGCCACAAAGAAAAGGGTTTCCTTTATAGCTACCTTCTTCAAAGGTTGCAAATTGATTAATCCTTTCAGGTGTTTTTCCTGACAAATTATTGTGTGCCACACTGAAAACAGACAATGTGTATATCTCTACTAGTTCAGAGGGAATTTTTCCATTCAAATTGTTGTAAGAAAGATCCAAGCTCTCAATTTGTTTGAGATTTGAAAATGTTATTGGGATTGAGCCTGTCAAATTATTGTGAGAAAGATTAAGAGTGTGAATCGCGGTTAGGTTTCCAATTTGAGGAGAAATTTCACCGAATAATTTATTGCAAGAAAGATCAATTCCAGACATAAATGTGAGGATTCTTCCCTTGTAGGAGTAGGATATACTTTTTGTTCTGAACTGTATAGATGCTTCGCTTTGGAATTGAGTACTACTTGAATAAGAACTCATATATATATCCAAAATAGCAGACGTTATAGTTGTATCATTCCCATTTTCTTCATGAAGGGCAGTGAAATCCAAGCAAGAAGGAATTTTACCATAGAGACTGTTTTGAGAGAGATCTAGCAAGCGTAGTTCTGTGAGATTGCACAATTGAGTAGGTAATTCACCTTCGAGATGATTGTTACCTAAGATAAGGTAACCTAAAGAAGAGAGTTTGCCAATCCAACTTGGAATATTCCCTTTCAAGTGGTTATAGCTAAGATCTAAGACCACCAGCTGAGAACTATTAATGTAGACAACATCATTTAGTTGTCCTTGCAATCTATTTCTTGACAAGTGAACTTGCTTAAATCTTGAAAGGTTAAAACAAGATGGAAAACTACCAGAGATATTGTTTACTGAAAGGTCCAAAATTTGAAGATAATCAATTTGACATAGTTCTTTTGGAATTGGACCTTCAAGCGTATTATTTTGCATTGCAATAACTCCTAAAATTGATAGATTTCCAATCCATCTTGGGATCTTGCCTGAGAGATGGTTATCATTGAGATACAATACTCTTAAAAAACTGCAATTTAACAAGCTTTTTGGGATCTCTCCACTAAAATGATTACCATCCAATTGTAATACTTCTAAATTTGTCAAGTTCATATTATTAGAGAAGATATGACCTTGCAAATTGTTGTTTGATAACACCAAGAGTTCTAGTGAGAAGCACCCTACAGCCAAGTGCTCAGGTATTCCGCCAGCCAACTTATTGTTTGATAAGTCCAAATATTGCAAGGAGCTCATATTACCAAAAGAAGATGGAATGCTACCATTGAAAGAATTTCCAGAAATGTTGAAATAGAATAGCTTTGGTAGTTTTGCACCAATCTCTATTGGAATTTGGCCATGAAAGGAATTGATGGAGATGTCTAAGCTTCCTAAATGCATATGGGATTGAGATGGCAATAGGAAAGTTCCTGAAAAAGAATTATTAACTAGAAAAAGTGATTCTAGTTGGGTATTGTTAGACAACAACCAATACGGAAATTCTCCACTCAAGTTCATGTGGGAGAGATAAACTTCTTGTAAGTTATGTTGATGGTAAAGAAATTTGGGAAAAGGACTAACAATTCCACAACCAGCCAACGTGATGGAATTTAATTGGAATTTTGGGGTCAAAGAATATGACATGGTTTCAACATATATTTGGTTATTTTCACTCTTGAAATCTTTGAGGTTTGAATGGTTGAAAAATGGACTGAGTGATATTGGGACTTGGAAGTGATTGTTTGAAATGTCAAGGGCTTGGATGGATGGTAGATCCTTAAGGGCAGATGAGGAGATGTTTCCAGTAATTTGATTGGTAGAAATATCTAAGTCATGAAGTGAAGTCAAATTTGCTAAACATGGAGGTAAGGGACCCCACAAATCATTATTGTCAATGTTCAACTCTTGCAAATGCACCATCTCACACAAGCCTGAAATAAAACATGTCATTTAATTATTAACATATATATTTCATAAACATTTACATCAAATATCTTATTACGGTCCGCATGCTTTTAATATTATTTTTTTTTGTCACTATTTATTGTTTCAATTTCATCAATTAATACAAGCGATCACTTTAAACTCATCATTAATTTTTTGAAACGTTTATTATTATGGTGGACATGGTTGTCTTCTTTTTTGTCACTTTTTCATTTCAATGTAATCTATTAATGCTAGTGATTTATAGCTAATACATGAACTGAGTAAATGTTTTTTTTTTTAATTTTAATTTATTGCATATGTATTTATTTGATTTACTAACCTTGATCATATAATGTGCCATTGAGTCCGCAATTAGACAAAGATAATTTCTTAAGAGAAATTATCGGTTTAAAGATTTGAGAAAAGCTGTTGTTGAGAGTAGTTCGCTCCATGCCCAAACGTTCCAAATTTTTGAAATAAATAGAACCTACACATTGACATGAATGTATGTGAATATCCATAAGCAAATGTTCCAAAATTTGAAATTACTAAAACCTATACATACTGAAAAACAATATTAAATTAAAAAAAAAAAAAAGATATCAAGCTTAATTGCACATTCTACTGATCATTTTGTTACTTTTAAAGATTAAAATGAATTCAATCTAATCCATTCCAAAAGAGGAAAGTTCCTACAATTTTCAATATTTTATTGCCAACATTTAAGGCTAAAAGCCTGCTCAGTTAAAATATAAATATTTGGTCTCATTTTTGGAATTCCCATATCTAGAATATTATAATAAAAGAAAAATTAATTTTCAATACGTATATAAATTATTATTTGATCTCATTTTTGTAATATTTCATTTTTTCCACATCTAACTTGAATATAGAATTTCAAGAGGTGTTTGATCCACATATATGAATTAATGCAAATGAAACTAATCTTGAATTTACCATGATTAGGCGAGAAGCCATTGAGTTCACAATTGAACATTGACAAATTTTTCAGTGAAGTACAAGTTGCAACAGTTTGTAGAAAGCTTATGTGGAGCTTTGACTCATCCAAGATCAATTCTTCCAAGGTGGTCAAATTATGCAACTCTGGTAAAGCAGTACAATAAATTTAAATGATGCTAGGTAAGTAATTGATAAATTATCAACAATTTTGTTTTAGCATCATAACTTTTACTTATTTCTTACCTCGAGCAATCATTGTTTGATTAAAACTATTATATGAAATGTCAAGTCTCTTTAAGGATGGGAACAACCTCAATGTTGATTGTAGAAAAACAGTTGCATTAGTGGTTTCAATACCACTCTGTAGAGAAAGGGCATTCAACTTCTTCAAGCCTCTATAATCTGTGAGTTAAAAAACTGAATTATAATTAACAGTCTTCAATGTAATACAAGGAATGGATTTTACAAAGGAATTTATTTTTTTCTAAAACTCAATTCTCATATTTTGCAAATTAAATAAAATAAAAAATATGTTTTTATTAGCTGGAGTACAAAGATTTAGAAACACAGTTTTTTCTTTTATAAAAAGAATTAGTATTAACCTCAAAAATTGTGTTATGCGTTTTTGAAAAAAATAAAAAAAGAAAACTTAAAAAACATACAAATAACATTATGGGCTTAATGGTTTATAGAAATTAAACTTAGTCTTTCTCTTAATAAAAATAATTCTCTATTTTTCAAATTTTAAAAGAAAAAAATTGTTTGCTAGACAGTTGAAAATCAAGATTCAGATGAACTTTTTTTCTTAAAAAAAATAAAAATAAAATAAACTCAAGAATTATGTTTTTTAATTTGTAAAATAATACCTATTGCATCATTACTATTTATTTAATATTTCATTAATATCAAAACTGTTGTCAAATACACAATCAGGTAGAAAATTGAGAGTTAAAAAAAATTGATTAAATATTATTACTTAAGTTTAGTTATGGGCCTGTAGTGATGGAATGAATTGAATACCTTTGGAGTTGACAAATTTATCAATCTTATTCCGGCCCATGTACAATTCCTCTAAGTTTTTCAAGGAACATAATCCTAGGAACAAATGAAACAGAGTTAATTAAAAATTGATCATAGTAAGACATTAAGAGTTTTATCAAACTTACCTTCAACGTCAACAGTTCCATTCAATCCAATATCTTCTAGCTGCAAAGATTTTAATGAAGAGAGACCACCCAAAGATGATAATATACTATTGCTAAGGTTGTTATAACTTAGATCGATAACCTCCAAGTTACTCAAACCTGGAAATAGTCAAACAATTTCACAAAATTAAAATGTTTCATATATTTAATCTAAAAAGTCCAATTATATTGTAAATTCACCAAAAAAAAAAGTTGAAATTATGAGAATGAGAAGCTAGCTAAATTAGCTTGAATATTAATAAACCCATTCAAATTATTCAGTTGTATATCCGAATAAGATGTTATTATAGGAAGTGAACTAGTGAAGAATTTTAAGATATATTTATAATTATTTAAAATCTTAATTTCTACAATTTGATTTCATTAAAAATCTTCTAACAAGGTGAAAATGGGAATTTTTAATCCTTAAAAAGGCTTTGCAATCCTAGTTGGTGATGTGCGTTGTCCACTCCCTTCAAAGGAGCGTGAATGTCTCATATGGATTGCTTTTTGGCTTATTGTTCTATTTTACGTACATTCCTAAAATAACCTTCCTTGTTTAGTTCATAACCCATAAAAAAGTAAGTAATTGTGTGGTTGTTCTAGTAATTATACTGAGACATTTTCTGATGGCTTGGTTTTCAAAACTGAATTTGACAGGCATGAGATAATGAGTGGGCTTTTACTGGTTTTATAAACACGGTGACAATTTTTGACGGTTTTGATATTTTGTTTGGGACAAAATTGTGTGGCTGTGATTGAGAGCTTGTATTTGCTCCAAAGAAGCTGTAAATTGTGATCATGTCACAAATATTATTACTTATTACCTTTGGGGCTGACAAAATGATCAATCTCATTTAACCTCATGTCCAACTCTTTCAAAGAATGTAACCCTGAAAAAGATTAAACAATTTCATAAGGTTAAACTCTTTCATATACATAAGATTAAACAATTTCATAAGGTTAAACTCTTTCATATACATACATAATTTAAAAGTCTAGTTACTAGAAATTCACAAACAATTAATGGTTGAAATTAAGAGAATGAGAAGCTAGCTTATTACCTTCAATATTAACAACTCCTTTAAATTTATTACGGTATAGATCTAAATACTTTAATGAGGAAAGACCAGCTAGAGATGATAAGATGCTGTTGTTAAAGTTGTTTCTGGCTAAATTCAATTCCTCCAAATTACTCAATCTTGATAGCCTCTCGAAACCTACAAATACTCAATCACTTTCAAGCGAATAAATTGCTTCATACATATTATCATATAATGTATCATACAATTATTCAAAAAATATTGAAAACATAAATCAATAATCATAAAATTAACAACTCCATAAAATATGTTGAAATCCTAAAATTTAATAGTAAATGAGAGACTTTTGAGGAATTTGTAATAATGTGAAATCATTTTATTAAAATCATATGGTACTAGCTAGATGCAAATAAATTTACTAGAAATTAAATATGAACCTAAATGTAGAAATAAATTAAGTTGAAGGGAGGAAGACAATTGACCTTCATTCTCAATACAACCAGCTATATTGTTGCCACTTAACTTAAGGGATTGTAGTTGTTGGAAGGGAGAAAACAAAGAAGCATTTAGATACCACTCTCCCAAATTAAAATCCCTTACATCCCAAAGATGGAGTTTGATGACTCTTCCAGTGTTGTTGTCACACATAACACGTTCCCATCTACAACACTCTGAATTCTTCACCCAATTGTAAAAATACCCATAAGAATTAGGGAAGAAATGTTTAAGTTGCAAGAGAGCAGTTCTCTCTTCCTCCCAACACCCCTCTCCTAAAGAAACCAACATCATTACAAAGAACACCCAAAACCACTTACAATCCATCTCTTAATACACTCAAGCTTTGTGACTCACAACACACTACTTCTATGCTATTTATACAAAAAGGCACCAACTTCTGTTTGGATTTCCTTGTCTTTTCCATTAATAAGTTTTTTTTTTCCTTTTTTTTTTTAATACTCTTAATTTTATGTAGTAATACTCTAATCAACTCTCAGTCTCTAAACATCTAGATAGACATTCAATATCAATTGATAGAAAAAGAATATTAAATTTTAGCTTATAGTTTATCTTATCTAAATTAACAAAATTATAAATTTAAAATATTAAAAATAGTTTTTCTTATTAATTTTTTTCTTTTTTATTTTAAAGATTATAATTTTAGCTGGCATTGACCAGTTGTCACTTTCACTTTTCCAAGTCAATGTAATTGGCACAACAGGTTAAAATAATAATCTCATTTTTCTATTAGAAAAAAATCTATTAAGGGCTTTACATTAATATTTAAAATCCCACATTTTGACGCTAGTAATCAATTAAAAATATATTGTGATTTCATAGGATCTCAGTTGTATTGATTAAAATTATAACTGTAGTTTTCATTACTATTAATTATATAGAAGTCTATCATAAAATGTTATTATTCTCCCATTTTTATTTTTTTTTAATTTTTTATACCTCTCATTATTATCTTGTGAAATTCATTTGATAAATTTGGTTAAAAAAAGTAAAGGAAAAGGAAAAAAAAAAAAAAAAACTGAGAAAAAAGGCTTCAATTCCTCCTTTAGAATTGATAAACCAACAAAATTTATTACTTTAATTTATTAATTTTTAAAATTTTTTATTAAAAAATACCATGGTGTCACTTTTCATATTTGCCGTAATTAATGAATAGTTTTCAAATTTAAGGTGTTATTATAATTTGGCTTATAATTATGTTCTTAGAGATAATTGGTATTAGATGAATGTATCTTTACTTTATTTGTTTTATGTTTAATACCTATTTCAGTAAAACATTATAAGTTAAATAAAAATACTTTTTAATTTTTTTAATATAAGAAACAACACCAAACACATTATACACGTAAAACTATTAATTAAACTTTATATTTGCATAAAATTCTAAAAGCTCAAATCAATTCAATGAAATTGTCAATTTCTACTTAACAAAAAGAAATTGTCAATTTTTACAAGCTGGCATTCAAAGTAACCTACTTTTCAAAGTCAAGCAACTCAATTAAAAGTTATGGCAGAACGGGTCATTTATGATAAGAATTATTTTTTTATATCTATCAACAATTATTGTTCTTCTCTTGGCTTAAAGAAAATTGCTAACTTTTGAGTCGGGTTGATGTTTCCTTAGTTGTCTAAATACAATTATTGTACAATGAAACAAAAATGTTGTAAAGTTGAAATGCTATAGAAATATCAAATTCTAATTTGTTTTTTCAGTATATTTGACTGCCGGTCAATGAAATTTGACCAGCGATTCTGACGAGTTATCGCTGGATAATATATCGTTTTGAAACACTCTTCATGCTATATCAATCTAGCTAATTATCTGTTCCAAGATTTCTTCTAAAATTTGCAAATTGAGCCGCTTAATCCAGCATGTTTTTCTTCCATTCCCAGCCAATCTCTGGCTATTTTCCAACCGACCACCACATGAATTAGCTTCCTTTCCCTTTGATCTTTAAAAGTAAAGCTTCAGTCCGCCTCTTATTAGTCCCAATAAAAAATTACCATTAATTCATTAAAGACCATATTAAACTTAGATAATTTCTTTTTATTAATGGGAGTTTGATGAGTTATAGTGTAACGAGTAATATTCAATGTTGTTAAGTGCGCTCTGATAGCATCGTAAGCAAACAAGATGCCAACATTAGTTAAAGGTTAAGCCAACGATTTTTGGAAAGTATTATATCCATTAAAGAGGAAAAAACTCAAAAAAAGAAAAAAAAGAAAAAAGATGAAGGTTCATAATTAGAACAGTAAAGGATATAATTTTTTATTTCTAATCATGTTTTCCTCCTATCATTTTTTATTTGTTTTAAATTTTTAATTTAAAATTAAAATAACTTAAATATAAAACCAAATAATATTAAATTAAACGAATTGTACAAATTAAAGAAGGATTTGACAGTCCTTACCAACTTTAGATCAATGAACATAAATTACTTAAAAGAAACACAAATCAATAAGTTAAACAACAAAAAAATTATCACTTTTTATGATTAAACTTTAGAATTAATTTGAGGTGTAATTTTATCTTATCTAATTCAATAAATCGTTATAATACTTTTTGTCATTATATTTTAAATACATTATACGAAACACATATTAAATACTTTTTGTTATTTTCCAAGTCAATGTTACATTACTATTCCAAGTCAACTATTGGTTAAATTTTAAAGTTTATGGCCGACTATGGATCAATGTTGTCTTTAATAGTCAACTATTAGTGTATTTATGAGTAATAAATCACTAATCATATATATATTAAGATAATTTAATGTGGTTCACAAAAAGCCACATCCACAAATAAAAGGAAGGGAAACACACAAGTTGCTACCCCGTCGGTATTCCAAAACTTGGTACCAAATTTATGGAGATTAAGCAAAATAATGTGCTGCTTAACAAAGTCTCAAAACTATATAATAATCACTTTAAAAACCCTTTTCTAAGGGTTAAATTGAAATCTGAATTCTTTTTAATTGGCTTAGTGGATGTAACAATTATTAAAAGTCACTTTAACATTCGAATAGCTTCCAGTCAAGTCTAGCATTAGATAGTAATTTTTTTTAATTTCTTTTTCTTAGAAAGCTAAAATAAATTTTATTTACATTTATTATTCCTTTTTAAAAATAATATATGTTATTTTTTTATATATAAAATATAATTAGTTACACCCTATTTTTTAGTATACTTTTAAGTGTTATCTCCGTGATTCATAATACACTATCTCTATCCTATTTATAGTAGAATATTCTACTCAAGTCTAAGTCTCTAAATCTTAACAAATATATTTAATGTCATTTGGTAAAAAAAAAAAAAAAAAAAAAAAAGAAACAAAGGAAATTAATAAAATCGTTTAGCTTCCTTACCAAGTGATAAACCACTAAACAATCATTACTCATTTGTAGTTAGACTTTACAATTAACTTTTAGTTTTTTCTTATCTAAATTAACACAACATTATAAAATAATATATAAAACTTAATTTTTATCAATCATTTTTATATCCATTGATAAACGTAGACCATGGAGGCGTAAAGACTGATGAGTACGTGTTTATTCACATTATAAAAACATATTTGTTGCTTTAAGAAATAGAATAAAAATCTCTACAATTTGAGGACGACTTTTCTTGTCAAATCATTGTTGGAAAAAATCTAAGCTCTCTGGAAAATGTGGCACCCACTTCTTTTGGACCTATTCTCGATCTCATGTGATACATATATCGTAAATGAAGGGTTATATTAGACTATTAAATCAATTAAAAGCTATTTTATCTTGTCTTATCAATATTTATTATCAACATTGTTCTAAAGTTGTAGTATAGTAATCTAATTTTCCAAGTTTTTTATTTTTTTTTATTTTTGTTGAAGTCTAAAAGTAATGAGAACGTAATAAAATCAAATTTATAGGTCTTCATTTCTGTCAACAATAGTTGATCCTGTCTTCCATAAGGAAACATATTATCCATCTTTTATTCTTTTCGTTATTTTTTCTTTCCTTTTCATTTCCATAATCAAAAAGTAGTTACTTGACTCTTTATTTATATATTTAATTTTAATTTTTTAATTTTCCGTGGATATGAATAATTTAATTACACATTATTTGTTCAGAAATAATGAAAAGTTGTTGGACCAGCGGCTTAATCCATTTAGGAAGTTATAAGTGGAGTAAACATTTTAATTATTATTACATTTCTAGTTTAATTTTTAATTGATTTTTAGTTGACTCATTCTCAAAGAAGCAATTTGGTGGGTGCAATTCGAAATAACAATAAAGATTATTTTAAATTTTGTATTTTATAAAGTTTAAATTTAAAGAGTTTATCTAAATAATTTTGTAAAAAAATTATACATATCGCTAATCTCTTAGAAATCAAGACTTTAAGTTCATAGTCTTGTCTCATGTGATACACATCTTAATGTGGTAGACTTTTAAATCAATTAGTGGCTATTTTATCTAATCAATTCAACAAAAATATTATAAATAAATATGCTTTTTTGTTGATCATTTTATTTTATCTAGAAAATAAGCTAAAGCACATTTTACACAACAAGATAATAACATTTTTCTTAAAAGATGTATGAAAGTAAACCAAATTTTCAAGTCAATTACTTTAATTAGTTGAAGCCTTAAAGTGGTTAGAATGTAATTAACCGAATTAATTTAACTTAAAGCCATTACTTTTACTCTATATTTAAATTTTAATTGTTAACTTTTCCAACCATATTAATAGTTAAATTCACCTTTTTTCTTTCTTTGGAATAATGCATGGGAAGTTGTTGAATGCAATGCAACCCATGTAAGAAGTTATTAGTGGAGATAATACCTTAATATATTGTTCCATTTTAGTCTTTTTTAATTGTTTTTCTATGTACTTATCCTGGAAAAAAGCAATTTAGTCTATGAAAAAAAAAAAAATTATAGAATAATGTGAAGTTGTTGGATTCAAGCCATATAACAAGTTCTAAGTAGAGACAATCGATTAATATATTGTTGGATTTTTTATCCTTGTAATTGTTTTAAAGTTCACTCGTTACGAGAGAAGCAATTTAGTAGTATTGATATTTTTACAGATAAATCCAATAGTAGTTAAGTATGGTTCTCATAAAATTTACATAAGAACGTCTTTAGTCACAAAATTTATACATATTGCTAGTCTCTTAGAAATTAAGACTTTAAGTTCACAGTCTTTTTTCATGTGATACACATATCTCGTAATCAAGATTGTAGACTTTCGAATCATTTAGTGGCTATTTTATCTAATCACAAAATTTGTTTGTTAATAGTTTTAACGTGTGTCCTTAATGT